AAAAAATGCTCAACAATATAAAAGAATGAGCAGCTTTGAAGGATCCTAAATCCACTAAAGACAGTATATAGTTTCATATTTCCCAGTTTACTAGTAGAATTCATAAAGCCATAAATTTACAGAATCTGGAACACAAAAGCTCACGTCTTTCACGCGAAGATCGCCCACGCCAGGAATATGGACCGCTGAGTGATTCTTGAAATGCGCTCCATGAACCCAGCCATAAAGACAAACTGTCCTATCCGCTTTAGGATGTTCTCGCAGAAGCTAAACGAAATTTGAAACATGAAAATGCTACGGACATTCTCAAAATACTAACCTCAGCATCGGTTATGTCCTCGTATCTATCACAGAGAACGTAAGGATGAGCGTCTCTCCAGACAAGAGGGCGAAATTTGGTAACTGATACGAAGCGAACCAGATTATGCAGCTCATTCTTCTTGTACTCGTTATGGACCATGCCCGTGAGATAAAACAGCTTGGCTCCCTATAAGCTGTTATATTGAATATCTGTAGGACGGTAGATACGCTCACCTGGTAGATTTCTGTCCAAAATCTATGCTTCATGATCTTTTTTGTCTTGTTCACCTAAAATACAGATGAAACTACACAAAAGTGGCACCTACAGAAGAAGCCAAATGAGCAGGAAAGTTAGAATAAAAGAAACAAACAGTTTGGGGAACAAAGAAAAGAAGTAGGCATGCTTAAAGCGTAAGTGTAAAACAGCCTACTTTACTCAGACCCTTCAAGCAATCCAGGTGATTGAGGATACCAAGAACTCGTGGCATACCATGGACTTGGCATATATTTAGGAATTCAAAAGTCTCCATCTCAAATCCATATGAGGCGTCTACCATCAACAGAACCTGTACGACAACAGTTTTCTCAACTCGAAAAGTCCATCAGATTTTATGATTCAACTCACCAAATCAGCAATCTTTGCCACATCTATCATATGATTGATATCGTTCTTAACTTCTATGAATTGCACTCTTCGCTTCTTTCCGGTTACAATGGTGACGGGCCCTGATATGACAATTTTCCGACGCAAAAAGACCTTTTGCAGTAAATGACAAACCTTTTAACTCTTCGAAACCACTTTTGAGGTAGTACTTGACAAGACCACGGAGTAG